AGCTCTGTGATGATCAACTGGGAGAGCGTGATTCAAAATTATTCATTACTTAGCTAAATTCTGTCAAATACATTTAAGCCCTGCTTTTGTTGTACGCTGAAGCTCTGCAAAGAAAAACTTAAGTATATCTTTTCTTACTTGCTTTTAAATTTAATGCAGCCCTTTAATTGGTTTGTTTTCAAGTTTCAGTCAGTGTAACATTAGTGTAAATAAATAAAAAGTAGTCTAAATTACTGTGATTCCTTCCCTCTTCCCACCCCGAAAGCACTAGCTGATTCTAAAGGTAATTTTTATGGAGCTTATAATTTGCCATAAAAGTTTGGTGACATCATATCTTGCAATATACGCAATTTCAAATCCACCTTTTGGAAACACTGAAATATTTGATACACCATATGAACAAAATTAAACTAGCTTCTGTAAGGATAATTACACCCAGACCAGCTCACTGTGAACAGTCTTGTCAGGATAAACCTGCTGCTGCATGCCATGGAATGCCCCAAGCCTGGGGGCGGCGCAGAGTTTGGAAGTGTCTTGTATGTTACTGCTCCTCAAGTGGAACAAAAGTTACACAGCTTAACACCACGGCGTGCTGGCTTTCAAGCAAAACTACTTGCTCTGTTTACACTCTTTATAAGCGCTCTCCTATTTCATGAGAGAAAGAAAGTGTGACCATGAAATGCAATACATGTTCATCTCACAGAAACTTTACAGTGTTCAATCACAGAGCGCAATATTTTACTGAATCACTTTGGAACATTTTCTACTGCTACCGAAAGCTCACATTGTATTTCAGCTGGCATTGGGAAAAGCAGAGAAAACAAAACCATCCTAGTAGCTATGAAATACATTTAATTTTACAAAACTCAGAAGACTTCAAGTAGGCACATTATCACTCAAACTGACCGTTCAGTACTTGAAGTGTTAATTTTTTTGTATTATTTACTGTACTGCCAAAAGGGCTTGCATTCTGATAAAGTCTAGCGTGCTGTTTACATACTTTTCTTCTGTTAAAGTGTTTGTGAGAAGCTGCTATTATGAGTACAGTATTTTACAATTAAATTAATAAGTATGAGGCTTTTGGTTCCCAACACCAATCAGTTTTCACGAGTTATATACAACAGACAATTCACGAAAAGGATCAGTCGACTGCAAGAGTCATACAGCCAACTCCCACCTGAGAGGTTTTATAAAGTGAGTCTGACTACTGACCCTTGATAGATATGGATATCTACCTGCAACAGCACATACTCCAACACATCTGGCAGTCCAGAACTGAATCCAACTGAATCAGTAACACTACTGACGGAAAGTTAGCAGCAAAGCTGTATCTGCTTGTGGGGAGGCTGAACAGCCCAGTGGCTTCTTCACAGAAACCTGTGCATGTTATAGCATGAGATGAAAGCAAGAAGATACAACTGAAACCTCTCATCATTTTTCCCAGTCTATCATCTCCGATCTTGCAGTGTATAACATGGGTAAAAATATTTAATACTTACATATAACACTAATCATGTATCATTTCAGACTCTTAAGAGGTTTGAAAGTGTACGTGGACGCCATAAAACATCTTAGAAGTGCTGAGCACAATACTCATTTATAAAAACAGTTATGAGAAGAAATAATTTTAACAAGCAAGTAATCTATAGGTGCACAAAAATAAAGCCATATTGGAACCCAAGGCTGCAGCTGATCTAGTGCTTCCTTCTCTACCCATTACGCTACAATTGCTTAAGGTCTACAGATCTGCTCTTGCTCTCATCTTTCACACTCCTCTCGAGAGCAAAACAGCCAACTACTCCCCTGTATTGCTTCCATTTACAATATAGTTGTAATACAGGTGGGCAACAGACAAACCTGAACTACAAGTACCTTCTCTTTGTTTTGCCTTGTTCATGTGTACAAAGCAACACATGCACTTCTTAAGGACCAGCAGTAATAGAATGAACCATGCCTCTGAAATGAGAGTCCTTCTCAGGCACACTCAAATAGGTGACAGTCTGATCACTGGTCCCTATCTCCAGGTGGCTTTATCCAGGTGTACATCTGCACAGCCTGCACTCCATACTGTGCTAGTGTTTGGGCTCACGGCCATGAAGACCAGCTGAGAAGCCACATGTACTAGCTGCAGAAGTTTAAGCTGGTTTAAGGTACTGATGTCGCATTTCCCCCTCCCCTCACCAGCTGTAACCACAGCTTCCCTTGGGCTGACACTTGTGCACTTGTGCAACTGGGTGATCAGCTGGCTCAGAGGGATGACCTGACTGACACATACAACAGCCCGAGGCCCAGGCTGCAACCACCGAGACAGACAGCCGTATGCTGCCACAAAAGCACCTCTGACTTCACGTCAGCATCTGTTCTGCAAAGCAGCACCACCTCCAGGACGATGCTGGCTCACAGGAATCCAGTTTAGAAGAGCGTAAAGCAGAGGCACTGCTACGACCACTGAGGTCAACAAAACCTTCAGTTGGACCTCTGAAATGAAACGCTCCCCAACGTTTTAACCACATGAAAGGAGATTAAAGCACTTTGAAACAAAGCACTACTGGTTCCCTCAGGGACAGAAACCTTGAACAAAGCATAAAAAGGTGTACGCATCTCATGCTTTAGTTTTGCTTGCCTTTTTTATGTCATTGTTTTATTTTTGTTTTTTATATAAGATTCTGTAGGACAGTTCTTACATCTGGCTAGGAAAAACATCATCTTGCTCTCTAAACGCTTAACTTCTCTGTGTTTTTGGGAGCAGGTTGTTGGCTGTCCACGACCAAGCTCTCAACACAGCAATCCATTTCCAAGACTTTTCTCCTTGCCCTCTTTCATGTTTATTTAATTTCTTGTCAGCCTTAGCAAAACATTTACATCACCTAGTTTGGGGAAACACAGGTACCTTTTTATGGAAATAAATTTTGCTGCTACACTTGTGTCTGCTGTGATACTGCTCTAGAAGATTGTTTTACCTTGATTCTTTCAACAACTTTTCGAACTACACTGCAAGCAACTGGTTGTGAAGAAATGAAAGCATCTAATTCAACTACAGATTTATTTTTTTTTCCTCCCCAGCTTCTCATACATCTCTTAAAAGGAATATCCACACTAAAGAATGAGTGAAAAAACTAACCAAGGAGCCACACATCTCAGAACGTATTGTCTAAACCAAGTTTTAATCTCATGTCCCTCAGCAAAAAAAGTAATGTAACATAGCATTCTCATCTATACAGGACCAGACTCAGCTGCGATAGGAAAATTTAGAAAAATAAGAACATCAGTCATCAGAATGCAGAGGTGTTGGTAAGACTCAAGAATATAATTAGGCTTTCATTTTAAATGTGCAAAATGTTTTATTAGTAACTATGTAAAATTTATGACCCGGAAAACAAGAGTTTGAAGAGTTTATCTAGGTTCACAAATGTACTTGTACCAAAGTATACATCAACTTATATGCTAGTATTTTCTCCCCCTAAACTTTCATAGTTTTTTTTTTTTTAGTACAAATAAAAAATCATTTAGCCATAAGGAAGCAACCAAAAGAAGAAATCACTCCATGATGCTATAAACTATGTTTTCCATCTTGGTAAATGATGGTATTTCATAGAAGTATAGAATCTTACTGTGTAGATACTGCGAATTATACATTATTTCAAAAACTACACAAAATTATTTGTGGGATAAGCTAACTCTGGTGTTCTTGGTAGGTAAAATTCTCTGGACTTGGGACGTAGAAAAACCTTTTCCTTTATATTACTCAGGCAAAATCACTGAAAATGGACATTCAAGACTGAATGAAAGGTGGTTGGAGGCATAAAACAACAGAAGATTTTTACTTATTCTTACATAGGAATTTAACTTTTTTAGCTTTCAGAACAAAATCTGAGCAACAGTTGGAGAAATACATGGATCTAGCAGGAAGACAGGCAAGCATGAAGGGTATAAAAGTCATCTTGTCCAAGGAATATTTCTCAGTATTTCAAAGTTTCTTAAACAAACGTTCTCATGCTAGCAATACTGTCAAATGACAACTCAGGTCAAGTAGTTTGATGTATAAAAACAACTGTGTGAGCTGGTATGTTGGATTTTTTTTATTTATTTTTAAATAATCACCTCCTGTTCTTAAGTTTTTGTAAGAACAACTTTCCATTTAATATGCAGAAATATTTAGTATGGCCACAGGAGGAAACATTTCAGAACGATATCCAAGTTTATTGCTCAAAGAATATAGAAACAAACAGTATTTAAGGCAAGAAATAATAATGTTCAGAGCATAATCTCTGTGTACATGCCAACATGAAGTTTGCTGTAATCCGAAATGCAGGTATAAATGTTTGGTAAGAGAACACATTGTTATCAAGGCTTTCAGATTCAAGAGTTACCCATCACTTAATATGCTTGAGATGAATGAGTGCCCAAACACATTCAGTTAAAAAGTTTGCTAAGGAATTAAAAAACAAGCAAACAAACCAGAATACTAGTTACAGCTGAGATATTACAAAATGCTTTGCTATAGTTATCGTCATTGTATATGAAATATATCAAGGTATGTTTCACGCTATTTAAATATGCTTACAATTAGAGCAAGGCGTTCCCTGAAAACAAATGCAACAAGAGAAAGTATTTCAGAAAAGCTGGATGAAACTAGACAGTTAATTCAGGAAAAAAAAAATCATAATTGTATTACTGCATTTAACCAGCACTTATTTTGATACAAATATGTATAAGTCTACTGTATTTCTCTTTGGATGAATCTTAAAAGTAAAATTTAACATATTTAAAGATAAATTGAAGCTTTACATACACTCTACTGAAAATGTAATCAATTATTATAGAAGCCTCTTTAAACTGTCCTGTAACTCTTCACAGTAAATCTGCCTTTTTTTTATATTTCAGATATTAACAGAAGGTGAACAGCTATCAGTGAAAATATATGTATGTAGGACATAACCACCACTAAAGAGCCCTTTAATTTATGGGACATATGAAAGTAAAGTCATCAGGACTTGTACCTTGTGCTGGCGATACTTGGTGATTCTGCTCCAAGCCTACATCTTTCTAGCTGATTAGCCACAATTTGCCTTTCCACTTCCAGTTCTCTGGTAAGTCTTTGAAATTGGAGCTCCTGAAATTTCAAAATAAAAAGAAAAGCATTCTTGATGTTAAAAAAATGGATGTGGATTAATTCTGAAACAAACGCTGTTTCATCACAATCATGTTTCTTGTTTTGACTCTTCCTTAGTGGAATAAGCTATTAGAAGATTAAAGTGGGAATTTAATGGTTCTTGAAATCAGTGATTCATGCAAATACTGATTTATCACCTGTTACAAAAGGAAAAACATGTTTAAGCATTTGTGGTTTTTCTTCCTTTTCATCTATAAACAAGGTAGACTGGAAAATACTGTATCCTAACCTTTCCAATTGCAAAACTTCAAATCCTAAGCTATGCTATGTTCTGACTTCTGTATTCAAGAACTTAAAATTTATTATTTCAAACTGCCTGAAGGTAGAGATGTGCTATTTCACCTTTCCTGATTTCAGCTTTTGTCACATTTCTTGGTCAAAGGTACCAAACTCAGCCTTTTGGAACATAATGTGCAGGGGAAGACATGGGAAACAAGCGCTGCACAGAATGTGTGTTATTAAAATCTGAAAACATTTTCTATAAACATGATACTCTGAAATCTATACTATGTCATCAAGGGATATTAGTGATGTTTTCATCCACAGTTAGCTTTTATTAACAATAGAAAAGGATTCTATCAAGTAATTGTCTTATTTTCCAACTGATATTCTACATCACCTGAAGTTTAAGTAAACTGTTTAATACTACTCAAAAAAATATGAACACCAATATTTAATAACCTCATGAAGCAAGTCTTAATTCAAGTCAAACACAGCAAAGAAGCATTCCTTTAATTTTAAAGTGCCAATTACTAATAAGAGGGGCTTTTTTGAATGTATATCATGTAATTGTATTATAGTATTTGCATGCCTTGCCATATTACAGAAGTCACTTTCACTGATTTTAGTTAATGCAAACTATTCTTTTACACCTTAGATCATACGGAATGAGGCTTACATACTTTCATTAACAGTTCCTACAAGAGCTGTCTGCTCCTTGCAGTTTCTAGACCTTTTCAGTAAGGTAAGGAGTGGTTCAGCCACGCACTCTATGGCTGTCAGGAACCTGCAAGTACCTCTGCCTCTCACCACTCCGGTCCTGGAGGGCTTCACAGCAGTGCAAGAGAGGTCAGAGTAACAGCGCAGTAAAAAGCTACTCTAAACCCTTGTTTAGAGTAAAAACCCTAAACCCCTGTTGTTACCTTGCAGAAGCAGGGATAAAGTTTTTTTCTACTGACAACACAGTGAGCTTACCTCCAAGAATCTCCAAACAGAAGGCTAATTAGCACTGATTTAATTAGGAAGCCAGCTGAGGGCTAAGTCAAACAGCAGCTGCCATACTGCCAAAATGACTCTGTATGTTAGATGACAAAAAAAGAAGCACTACTTCTGAAAGTCTCATTTGAGCTCCATACAACTGGCCTGTTAAAGATACGCCACACAAGCTACTGCCCCTCCCAGACAATATAAGGAATTGTAGACACTTGCAAACATTTCTCAGAGCTCCCTAACCAAACTGAATAAACACACCCTAATATTCCAAATATTGGAAACAAGGCAAAACTGTTTGCCTCCAGGACATGGAACTCACCCACTACTGCCAGAGGACACAAGCATCCACAGACCAAGACTGCATTTTTCTACTGTTGCTCTACTAAGATCAGTTCAATAGAATAGAATATTCTGTAGTTCCATTAAAAATAAACACACAAACCAGGGGAGCAGCAGGAGGGAGATGTTGTCCTCAACCTTCTATGAGGTTGGCACTTACTGTCAAGATTCAGCATTAGAAAAGCTTAGCACAGTCAATGCTCAGACATGAAAGAGCATTTTAGGACATAAGTCCTAAACTTGGATTTTAATAAAACCTGCTTTCAGATAGAATTCGAAAGCTAAATCCTTTTAATCCTGAGACCCAATACGAAAAGCCTCATGAATGTGATAACCTGCGGACCAGAGCAAATCTTATGGGACAGAAAGTACAGGTAATATCCGAAGGTTTGTACAACACATAACTGCATCCAGTAGCAGAGACCCGGTCGACACAGTCTGATACCAGCCAGGTCTTGGTTAGCATAATTCAACTTCACGTTATACCAAAGAGGTACACATGCACCCAGTCAGTTCATTTGGACAGTTTGTCTTTCAGAGAGAAAATACTAAAAAGTGTATTAAGCAAAAACAGTCCAAGAAATTTATAAATGAGAATTTATTTTCCAATTCTAAGTCTGAATATAGATAATACATCCGTCTAAAAGCTGATTCACCAGCCAGTCATTAACATGCTAGTGGAGAATGCCGTGATTTTCAAAATAAACCCACTCAGATGCCGAAGCTCCATAAGTTTTGAAGCAAATGTCAGCGAGACAAGCTTTTTCCCCAAGTAAATGATGAGGTATTATACAGCATATAACAAACATACATCTTCAAAATAAACAGTATTGCACTACTTGTTTGCAGAAATAATATAAAACATTCTCCCTACGTTTAAAGCTGTTTCCTGTTCCTTACTTTTAAATCAGTATTTAAATAGCAATGTCATTGATACAAACTATGAATTTGAACAGAAGACTCAAGTTGCCTATTGTTATTTATAGATCCTTTAATTAGATGAATAAAATAAAACATATGCTAGCCGCTATTTGCTTCCATTCAACCAACCTCTATTAATTTGCCTTTTTATTACAGTTAGAGACATTAATGAAAATAACATTATTCTAGAAAACATACTCTTAATATGTGTTATGAACATACATTCATTTGAGCTCTCTCCTCCCTTCACTATCTTCTCCTCCACTCTAACACAGTCCTTTACACCTGCTCACATGCATTTTGGCAGGAAGGCATTTTATAAGGCAAACGTTATCACTCAGCAACTTTTGCCTTTTTGCATTCCAGAAGGAAAAAATTACAGTAAATTACCAAATTCTACAAAAAGGTTGGCATTGCCTAGAAAGTCTTTTTACATGAAGTGAAACAGCTAAAAAGGAGCATGTAACAAAGGAAATGGGACAACGCTCCAGTTCCAACAGTTACGCCAGCAGAAATCAGATACGTAAGATGGAAAAAAAAAAATCTGGGCTTGTCACCCAGGCTTACATCTACACAATCATAGAGCTTTTTAAAATAATTTGTCACACACTTCTGTCCTAAAGGTGTTTAAGAGATGATCTAGTTAACTGAGATAATCAGAAAAATCAATAATGATTTACATTTTACAAGTGTAAAAAAATTACAGGTTTAAAAGACAAAAAAAGCCCCACTGAAATTAAAAGAATGAACAACGAAGAGAAGTCTTCTGTAAAACACTACAGAAGTGTAACAGCTACAGAAAATACTATTTTTTTTGCATCACAGAAAAGGGATTAAGATAAAATCCAGAAAGAGGAAACGGAAGAGAGGCTGTATTTTTCTCATTTCACAGTGTACTTTCTTTATAAGGTAATAATATGCATACAGTTTCCCTCCCACCCTCCCCAAGAATTCCTCAGAGTATATTCAAATTCTTCATCTGGAAAATGAAGTTCCACCCAATTCCAATAATCACCTCAGATTTTTGAGGATTTCAAGCAGTTAAAAAAACCACGACAAGTGAGATTTCGAATCACAGAATGGTTTGGTTGGAAGGGACCTTAAAGCCCACCTGGTTCCAACCCCCTGTCGCGGGCAGGGACACCTTCCACCAGACCAGGTCACTCACAGCCCCATCCAACCTGGCCTTGAACACTTCCAGGGATGAGGCATCCACAGCTTCTCTGGGCAACCTCTGCCAGTTCCAGTCATTGTAAAAAAACTTCCTCCTGGTCTAGTCTAAATCTACCCTCTTTTTTCATCTCCCAGGATCTCCAAGTCCTTCTCTGCAGGGCTGCTCTAAATCCATTCATCCCCCATGCTGTACTGATGCTGGGGCTTGCCCTGACCCAGGTGCAGGACCTTGCACTTGGTCTCTCTGAACTTAATGAGAGTCATGTTGGCCCACCCCTCAAGCCTGTCAAGGTCCCTCTGGATGGTATCCCTTCCCTCTAACAAAGCAATCAACTGCATCACCAGCTTGGTGTCACCTGCAAACTTGCTGAGGGTACACTCAATCCCAGTGTCTATGTCACTGATGAAGGCAGTAAATAGTATTGGTCCCAATATGGACACTTGAGGGATATCACTCATTACTGGTTTCCACTTAAAAATTGAGCCATACTATAACTCTTTGGACATTACCATCCAGCCAATTCCTTATCCATCTAACAGTCCATCCAACAAACCTGACTTTCCACAATTTAGTGGCAAGAACGTTGTGGGAGACCATATCAAAGGCCTTACAGAATTCCAGGTAGATGACATCAGGAGCTCTTCCCCTTGTCTACTGATGCAGTCAGTCATAGGCGGCCACCAGATTAGTCAGGCACGATTTGCCCTTGGTAAAGCTATGCTGGCTGTCTCTAATCGCCTCCCCATCTTTCCTATCTTTCAACATGTCTTCCAGGAGAATCTACTCCTTGACGTTACTGGGCATTGAGGTGAGGCTGACTGGTCGGTAGTTCACAGGGTCCCCCTTCTTACCCTTCTTAAAATCAGCTGTGATGTTTCCCTTTTGCCAGTCACTGGGGTCTTCGCCTGACTGCCATGACTTTTCAAATACAACAGAGTGGCTCGGGAACTACATCAGCCAAATCCCTCAGGATCCTGGGATGCATGTCATTGGGTCCCATGGACACACATGTTCAGGTTACTCAGGTGGTCTCAAACCTGATCTTCACTTACAGCGGGAGAGATGTCGTACCTGCCTTGAGGTTCAAGGATTTAAGAGATGTGAGAAGAGATTACCATTGAAAATTGAGGCAAAAAATTTTAACTTTTTAAAACTAAATTAACTTCAGATAATTTAACTGAAAGCATCATGGTAGGAAAAGGGAAGATACCTTCTATTTTTCTGCTGATAATTCCTTTCCTAACTTTATATATAATCTCTTAAACATATGCAGTTTCGTCTCCACAGTGAGAGT